GTGAGCTCCCAGTTCTATATCTAGATCTAGTTTGAGAGAGCAAAACCTCCAAAACTTGACCCAAAGCTAAATCGGGGGAGGAGAGCGGCCTAATTTTGGAGAGGTTGTGTAGCCACGTTACGAACATCTGCCTTGTGGCTGTCGACTGGATGCATGGCCAAATTGGTCTCCATGTTCATACACACAATCTCCCAGAATAGATCAGTAGAGAAAAGAAAGACGGAGAGAGCTTCAAAAGAGGGAAGAGGGAGGGAAGAGGGAGATAGAGAGGAGAGGGGGGAGGGTGCGCTCTCTACCTGAGGGACGGCGCTCTAGAGAGGCGGCAGTTTCGAGGGAAAGGAAACTCCAACCTAGGGAAAAGAAAGGACACGAGTCTATTTTTGTACAGGGATTTGTGGCTGGGGCATGCACTAATGTTAGAGTCTACATTACTCCTTTTGGCTGATTTCCCAAACGGACGGGGATTCCACTCTCCATCTCAGAATCATTATTCTAAAGTGGGGAGTTCACTAGGCAATTCCAGTGTGGCTGTGGAGGTGTAATTTTGCTTCTCTTACAGTTGTTAGAGAGGCTCCTCTTTAGCTTCTTATTGTGTGAATTGATTGTGTTGTTCTTATAGGGGCTGTGTTTAGCTTCTAGTCCTTTTGTAGCTGCAGGAACTTTCTCTCAAATGATGAAATCTGGGTCAACATTGTCATGCGGTGCTTACGTGTAGATTGTTACTACCAATTTAGTCTTGGGGTATTTCTCATGTGGTGCTCGTGTGGGTTCGGACCATCACATCAGACGTGGCGAATTTGGGCAGAAACTCATCCTTTGTTGGTGAAGCAACACCTAGCCACATATTATATTTCTTTTTATAATTTTTGTAATTATCGTATGTAACCGTAGGATCTGTTGATTTTCTATTGATTCTTATCATTTTATAATTTGTAGAATATGTTCTAGGTAAAGTATACTTTACTTTAGAGATTTCTTCGATTTCTGTCGAAGTCCACCTAAGACAAAAATTTCTTTAGAAGCTCATTCAAAAACTCATTATATTCCTCAACTTAAACTTTTTCTTACCAATTACAAAATGATAGGAATAAATATTACAATTGTCACATCTGAATAATTTAAGTTTTTAATGTAACATACTCTTAAATGGGGAGATTAACAAGAAAGTCCTAAATATATAACACTTGTGTCTTTCGGTCCTCAATCTTTTAATTTGGTCAGATTAGTACTAAATCTTTTAACGATTTGCCATAGTCTTAAACCTTTTGTTGCCAATAAACCTTTGGACAATTTATTAATTTAGTCTTAAAAATTTTGACGATTTGCCAATTGAGTCTTTCCGATCAATTTTGTTTGGAAATCGCTTATATGACACTCTTGTTAACGCTGGCTGTCCTACATCCAATTCTAACATGGACAATTTTTTACAATTTTTAATTTTCGTTAACTTTTATTTTTTCTTTTTTTTTTTCAACCCTGGGTCGGAGAGATCGCCAAAGAAAAAAAATAAAAATTCAGAAAAATTAAAAAATTACAAAAATTGTCCATGTCAGCATCGGCCGTGCCACGTAGAACAGCCGCTACTGACTAAACCGCCACGTCCATGATTTCTGGCCAAAATTGGCAGGAAGAATTAAATTGATAAATCATCAAAAGGTTTAGGACAAAATTAGCCAAATTGAAAAGTTTATGACTGAATCGGTAGAATATCAAAAGGTTCAGGACTTTTTTTTTTATATATAATAAAGGGGTTCTTAGTAGACTATTGAGAAGATCCGCATTGGGACAACATGGAATGCCAAGAGAAATGAACTCCACCAACAAAACAATGAGAGGCAGGCATCTGAAATAATTTCTCCTTCTAAGTCAAGGGATCATCTCACCTTCATTGGGACCAAGCAAAGAAATTCCCCACAAGTGAGGATGATCAAACCAATCAAATTCCTGAAGGAAGGAACTCAGATCCTTTGTCTCTGGAATCAAGCAAGTTTTTACAAGAGTTACTAGCTTTGACAAGACACTCTTTATTGAATAAAAAATCACTAGTTGTCACGCCAATTGTTCCTTCGAAGATGACCAAAGATCTACCAACTTCCTCCACACAACAACTCAATCCGAAGCATAAATCCATAGAGAAAGATACGGTGGCAGTTGAAGCTACCATCAACCACTAACCACTTTGCAATACTTATATGTAGCATCAGAATCAATCGATTAAATTTCACATATTCTCTCAAGAAAATCCAAATCCTTCCCAATGATCATTAGCTTTGTTTTATTGTCGAAAAAATAAATGTGATTTCGAACTATTGGGCTTTCTTTCTATTGTCATTTGGGTCTTTTAATAATTAGGATTATGTTTTTTTTTTTCGGTCGGTAATAAGGATTATGTTAATGAGTACTCTCGAAGCACCTGTTACGCAATTAATTGAGAAAACTTTACTGTTTATAATACATGGGTTGTCTTGTCTTATGTGTAGTGAATGCTTTGAAATGTAAATTATTCCTCATTTAGTAATTTCAACAAATGCTCCGAGTCACTTGTTATCAGGACCCTTATTAGAATGTGGTTGAGTTTGTAACGTTTGGTTATGGTTAAGATTGTAATGTAATGATTATTATACCAATAATCTAATACAGTTATAACGAAGCTATAAATAATGGAATAACTATTACTTTGTTTGATTGACACTACAATAGCAAAGAAATAAGGATAAAATGTTAAAAAATGCTCTCCTCCCTACTGCATCAACTATGAAGTGACTATATTTTTTGCTCTAACTAGTAATAGTATTGTTATTACAGTAACAAAATAATAGCTTTATAGTTCTCACAATTAGATATATATTCATATCAATATCAATTAAACTAATTAATAGTCAAATTTTGTATTTTGGACAATGTTTTAATCAATGTTATGTAAAACTACATACCATCAAGATATTATAATTTATGATATGGGTGTTTATTGAATATCATCAAGATATATACTCCAGTGTTGTCTACGTTGGCTAAATTTTTTATCCACATCCTTGTGGGCATCCAGTATTCTATCTGCATCATATTTTGGCATTATCCAATGTCTACATTCGCTAAATTTGGTCGGATTTGATGTCAAAGAGACTTGATTTGAAATTTTTTTAAAGTAGAATTGCTTGGTTAGACAGATTAAAAGTACATAGATTTAATTAGAAAATGCATGAAAATATAAGGACGTAAAATATTACTTTTCCTTTACATAATAAGTAATCTAAAAAATATATTTCAATATAATCAAACTTGTGTTATCTAACACTAATTTAACGAATCAGGAGAAAGGTGATAAGGGCGTTTTGGAAATTGCCATTATGACTTTGATTGTAGTAATCGCTACGCACTGACTTCGTGTTATGATTGCAACAATTTACGCGTAGTAAACACTACAGTAATACTTGGAATCTCCACTCACTCTCCCTTTTTAATTTTTCGCTTCTTCAACGTATGGAGGGGAGGGATATGACCTAGATCTCTCCCTCCCCTCCATCTATGGTTGCTTCTCCTTTTATTTTATCTTGTTTCTTACTTTTAGTTCTCGATATTACAGTTTGGAGATTTTCTCTCCTGATCTAGTTCTAGATCTGGGAGATTTGATAAATAAATTCTCTGCCTGTAGTTTCAATGGTGTTTATAGCAGCTTCGGTACTAGATTTGTGTTCTTTCAACATGTTTTTGTTAGAAACTTTGGCGTCTCGCTAAAGCGCTCGCTCTCACAGATGTCAAATCTAATCTTTGTTCAATATGCTTTTGTTGTCTTCGTATGTTGATGATGTTAAGGACGCCGAATTTAGGTGCACACCACCAAAAAGCAAAGTCATGGCTATAGATGGATATCCATTGCATGTGGTTATCACTGATGATGATGCATGATTCAAAGATTGGCCATTGATCCTTTTGCTTGGATGCAATCACAGATTTATTCTCGAAGGACGTGCATGTACTTACCTCCGCTGACCATGCTTTGACGACATACCTTGTTTTCTCGGTTTTGGTTTGTTTTGCAGTTCTATGAGCTTGTTTTGTTGTAGTGATTTATGAGATTTTGTACGGATCATTTTATGCATCGTTTTGATAATGAAGAGAAATTTCATTAGACAAAAAAAAGAACTATGCTAATAGAATAGACTTGTAACATAAAAATCATTGCTACAATTGTGTTAGCGTGTCAAGACCCCTATAAGAAATTGTGCCCATGTTATTCTCTCTCCTGTACTACATGTGCATAATTTGTAGGCATATATAGTCTATGAATTGCCAATTTCAATGGGTCAACTCCTCATTCTTAATATACATAGTACACGTCCCTGAAGGCGAGCATGCAGTCTCCGTGATGCGCTCCTCTCTCCCTGTAATATGACTTCTGTTCAAGTTGCTTTCGTAGCAATCGGTTCGATTGATTAGATCGTATCATAATCAGAAAATTCAAATTTCTCTCGTCATATTAACTTTTCTGTATTCGTGACGTCACAAATCAATCACACCGACTCGACTCTAAAGGACGCGCTTATAAAAGTCACAAACTTTAGAAAAAGGTTGCAATCGAGTGGATGATTGAGATACTCGCTGTCCCAATCCTAGTATATATACGTTAAAAGAAAAGAAAGAATGAAAAAAAAAAAAAGGGCAAACCTTTCGGCGTGTGCGCACCGAGTGAACGGACCGGGCGGGTCGGTCCGGTTCAGATCTCAAACCGCTGGTCGGTCTACTCCCCGTCTTCCACGTGGCGCAACCGTCGCTTTCGTCATGATTCTCCGGGCTTCCATTTTATTATTTTAAGAGAATCCGCCACTTCTTTTATTTATTTATTTATTTTATTTTAATAACTTTATTTCAAACGAAGGAAGAAGAAGCAACTCGACGTGGCATTTCCTCCTTCCTTCTTCAACACCCAACCACTCCTTGCCTTCTTTGCGAATTCGACGTTCGCGCGTTCGCTCTCTAGACGATTCAATCCCCCCCCACCCCCCCCTTCGTCCTCGCTCGGATTGATTCCTGCCCGAGCATCCGTTCCAGATCGATCGCGGTTCCTCCGGCCGCTGTTGTGTTGTGTTGTGCGTGGAGTTGAAGCGAAGGGAAGGGAAGGGAGGTGGCGGCAACAATGGCGTGCGGAAGCTTTTGGCGGAGATTGGTAGCGCCTTTGCGTTCACGTTGATTGGTTTCGAAGTAGCTTCTCGCGCTTCCCTCGTCGTGCCCCGCCCCGCCTTTGTCTCGGGTACGTTTCCCTCGTCCCTTCCCCTTCTCCGGATCGATCGGTGTCGTGTTCGCTGTCTGTCGCGCGTGGATTGCGGTGGGGTTGGGTTGGTGCTTCCGCTTGTTGGTTCCCGTGAGTGGTGTCGCGCTTTTTCCTTGTGAGGCTGTGTTGCTGCTTTGGGAATTACTGAGGAGGAAGCGTGAGACGTTGCTCGACTGGGAATGAGGTGCGGGTGAAAAAAGTGGCACTTTTTTTTCTCTTTAGTGTCCTGCTTTGCTTTTCTTATGGGAAAAGGTGTTTTGCGTCGATAGATCACTGGTTGCGATGAAGGCGTGTTTTGCTTTGAAACTTTGCGTCGCTGTCTTTTCATCGAGAAGGAGAGAGGGCGAGCTCTCGTTGGGAAATGGGGAGCAATTTTTGTGTTTGGTTCTTTTCGCTTTAGTTTCAAGCTTTGCTATGAATGTTTGAAGCGGGAGTTGTGCATCTGATGGAGGAGTTCCAGAAAGGAACAGACTTGTGAATTGGTTCTTTCGAGAACTCGATGAATATTAATTCTTCTGCTCAGCATATATTGAGGGGTTATTGGTGGCTGAACTGTCCTAGACAATTTGGGTTTCCGTTAGTTACAGCACCGAGGTGAATTTCCTGCTATAGTTATGTATTAAGATGTGATTGGTGATGTGTATTCTTGCCTCATTCTTTCAGGTCGAAATATCAAGTGGAACCCAAACTTCCTGGAACCTCGATTAGTATAATGCAGCTATAAGTGAGGTGTCTATGTGCATTGACAAGAGTTGCTTCACTTTGTCCTAAGAGCTTCTAGGAATGCCCCTGGAGCTTTTTGCACTAAACGAACTCAGCTTCCCTGCATATTGCTTCTGGTCTTAGTGGATCGAGATGAATATTTCTGCTCTTCTAACATCAGCTGGAATAAATATCGGCTTGTGTGTGGTGCTTTTGTTGCTTTATTCCTTGTTGAGGAAACAACCGAGCAACTTAACTGTATATTTTGGACGGAGGCTTGCTCAAGCACGCCCAAAACGCTTCGATTCTCTCTGCTTCGATAGATTTGTACCTTCCCCGAGCTGGATAGTGAAGGCTTGGGAAACTTCTGAAGAAGAACTATTATCTCTTGGCGGCCTCGATGCTGTGGTATTCATCAGGACACTTGTTTTCAGGTGATTAAACCTTGTCTGGCAATTGTAGGTTTTGAAGGCTATTGATTTGCGTGTATTACTTGATGTACGAAATGCTTGGTTTGGGTTAACTTAGTTGTGACTATTTATCAGATGGATGGAGTTCTATCCATGCTTTTCTGATGTTATTAATCACTTTTATATGCTTATGCCTTAAAGTTTTTATCAATTACAAGGTTTTGAGTCACTCGCTGTTTGGATGAGGCATCCTTTTTGCTACTGATGACAACATGTCATCATCAGTTACCATTTTTTATTACTGATAACTTCAGTTCCCCACCCGTGTACGATGAGAAACAGCATGTAAAGCTCCCACTGATTCATGTACTTTGAGGAGGTTTCAAGTATCTGGACAGAGAAATATATAGCTAATGCTTAAGCTTTCTCTAGTTTGCCGTCTATTTCTTGTCCAAGATGATTACTATCATCTGAAATGAGTACCATGGCATATTATAATGTCAGGGTCTTCATAGAAGATGCACATCACCTCTCCTCTACCTATTTGTCTATTTTAGTTGAGTAGTAGTCTAGATGATTTAACTTGTGCACCTGCAGAGGTCATGTCCAGCAGATGGTATGCTTCGGGGGGATATAAACGAAATAAAGTTCATTTTTCTCGTGAAAAAGAAAACTGTGTTACTATGCACACAATGTTGCTTAAATTGTTAGAAATAATGCTGCATCCTAGCCTAAACGGCAGATAAAATGTTGAATTCTGGAACTATGAATGAAAATGGACGATAATGTTCGTGAATGTCTATTACGTATTTGGTTCAATTAACATCTTAGGGACTTTCCATCCTTGTACTAATATAATCTAATTTCTTTATGCAGTCTTCGAGTATTCTCCATTGCTGCTTTCTTTTGCATGTTTCTTGTACTTCCAGTGAATTACTATGGGCAGGAGATGCATCACAAGGAGATCCCATATGAGTCATTGGAAGTTTTTACCATTGGAAATGTCAAAGAAGGATCTAAGTGGTATGATCGAAAGCACTCTTTTGTCCAATGTTTTGGCAGTTTTTCTTCGGGGGATGAATTGAGATGATTTTGAATTATAGCTCTAGATTTTCTATTATTCTCTCGCTGTATTAATATTTCGTGGTTTCCATCAACTAAAATATGTTTATGGTTAATTAATTGGCGGGCTTGAGGAATAGCAAACTCATACTTAATTGGAAAAGGATGTTATTTTAACTCATACTCAAGTAATTGTTTTTCAAAATTTTGGGTATTCTTGGACAGACATTTAACAGTCCTTATGTATATACATGTCAGGCTCTGGGCACACTGCCTTGCACTGTACATAATATCTTGCTCTGCTTGGCTTCTCCTTTACTTTGTAAGTCATCTACAAGGCTATACGTTGGGTATTTTACTTAGCATCGTTTTTAAAATTACTGATGTTTAAGAATGATATCTTATAGGAGTACAAAAGCATAGCTAATATGAGGTTAGCACACATCAAGGCTTCTGCAACGAACCCAAGTCACTTCACCATGCTTGTGCGAGCTATCCCTTGGTCTCCAGAGGAGTCCTACAGTGATTCAGTTGACAAGTTCTTCTCGAACTATTATTTGTTGACGTATATGGGGCATCAAATGGTCTACCGGTCTGGTACAGTTCAAAAACTGATGGTATGAAATATTGCTTAAATGTTTCAATGGCGTGGCAAGACAGATCAACTGTTTATACTTGTTATATGTTAAGCAACTTGGGTCGCTGAGTTAATTTTTTCTGTGCAAAAAAGGTGCTAACAATATTTAGCACAATGCTTTAAACACATGCTGCAGCTAGTTAGTAAATCGAATAAATGGGAATTTAGTCCTTTCAATAGCAAGAAAGTTGATAACATAGAAATAATGATAAATATGGCAGTATTTAATTTAGCAGCTAAAGCTCAGTCCGGTTTGTTTGTATGGTTTATATATTAGTATTCTGTTGAAATCGGTTATAATCTTGTTTTCAATAATATTATTTGGTCTTTCTGATTGCCGTGCTAAGGAATTAATGTTAAAAAATATCAGAGTCGAGTTGTCTTGAGTGCAAATTTTTTCAGGCCACTGATTTGCCTCCCAATGGAATCAATTCCAACAGTTGTAATATGTCAAATCTCAGCCTATGTGTCATTTAAATTAAATGATGTTTGGTTTGCATGAGAATTGACATTTTGGATGCATAAATTCTTCTTCTGTTATGGAAAACAAGCAGGTAAAGCTATATTTCTTGTAAGTAGGTTTTGATTAATCGTTTTCACTGGACTTGGTGGAGCAATTATGATCTGGAAATGCCTTTGTGTTCTATAGAACTTTAGTTTCTGTACTCGGCTTTACTTGATTTGTTTTTATCGGGTATATTTAGCATTGACCATTTTTTTCTGGTCAATCTTTACTATCTGCCATCAGAATTATTATTATAATTGAAAATTTTTATAAAACAACTCTTTATCTCAAATAGCAAGTTCGAGGCAATTACATCATTAATTAATCTGACTCTAGACTTCATTCGTAGATTTCACAACTTCCAAGTGGTTGTTCTTAGTATAAGTTGACTATCTACATCGCACCCATTAAGATTGAGAACATAGCATTCTATCTTGCTATGAAGTTTTGATTCTCTAAATTCAACAAATAGTATGCTAGATTGTAACTAAGGTCTTGGTCTATGAATCGGATATTCAATATCTTATATATTCTCGGCAATTTTCTGCTTTTTGTTGTTTCCTTATGGGTACTGTGCTTCTTCCTTTACAGCATCTCATGGCTTTATATATGCAGAGTGATGCAGAGATGATGTGTAGAATGATGAGATCTGAGAATCTTGCTGTTAAGTGCAAGCAAAATCTATTCAACTGTGGTCTATGTGGTGGACCATCTAAAGCTTTTCGTATGCTCTCTAAAAGACCTGAAAGTGTTAAAGGGAAATCTGTCTACGGGGATCTTGACACATCTACAAGAGAGGTACTGATGCTTGGTTTAAGTAAGAGATATAAATTTTTCTTGAACAATGATTTTGCGACACCTACATTGTACTGAGGCCTAGTGACTTTTGAATCTTCTTGAAGTTCCCATCGACTTTGTAATCAGTTGATATCACCTGGATAAGTTGACTTTTAATGACCAATCGATATTCTATTCTGGGTTGAATGATCTCCATAAGTCTTGGGAATGTGAGGATCGCATGATAATTGTTGCTACCATTGTAAACTCATTCATAGTACAATTCGTTTTGGGCAACTTCGTGATATCTTTTAATGTTTTGATCTCTTTTGATCCTTTTAACATTCCATTGAATTGCTTTCCAAATCATAAGTTGATTTTCCTGTATGAATCTTTATGGTGTCCCCAGAGTGTGTGATACAAAGATTATGAAGTGATAGCTGATGAACTTGTAATTGCACGATCTGGAAAAATTGACATTGATTTTTTTTTTCAGTTGATCTGGAGTTTCTTTGCTGGCTCTCACAAAAAAAAAGGCCAAATCGAAAGAAAAAGGCTAATCCTTTTTCTCCTAGGATAAAATTGACACCCATTACATATCTAGTCCATTCTCATTATTAAATCAGCACGCACCATCCCATGTGGCTTTCTGTGAGTGAGCATGTCAACCAACATAAAACTCGTCATTTTTAATTTATAATCTTTGTTGCCAAATTTATTTTATAATCTTTGTTATCAATTATCTTGCAATTTGTACCCAAAAACGAAATTGTATTTGGTCGTGATTAGTGCTGCTTCCTGTGCTACATGGCGATTTTATTGTGAAATTGACGGGATTTGTAACGGGTTTCATTATTGTTCCATGGGTGAAAGGGTGGTTTTTTTTTTTTTTTGGGGGGGGAACATTTGCAAGGTTGTGTTATCCTTGTTCCAGGGGCTAACGGTTGGGCTTTTTTTTTGGGACACTTGACAGGTTGTGTTATTTTGTTTTGGATTATTATTTTGAAATTTTATCCAAAAAAAGCAACTTTCAGCTGTATCTTTAGTTCAATACATTGTAGGGTAAATGAGGAAGGAACTTGTCATATAATGAAAAAAAACACTTGCGAATTCACTGATGTAAGCTGAAATAATTTGGCTATCTCGAGTACTGCTTGTGGGACTTTTCTAGATGCAATATGATTCAACCCCTTAGTCCTTGGAAAACATATGATCATATTACTGATGAACTGATTATGTGGGTTACCTCTTTGTTTTAGCTCCTGGATTAACAATGTTTATCTGATTGTGCATATTACTGTTAGATTTTTCCTTAGATGTTTGATTGTGTCTCTTAGTTGGTGTAACTTGTTCTATCACGTTTCTTGTTCCTTTCTCGTTCTGATTGATGTTGGTTAGATCAAGGGGGAACCATGCCCGAAGGTTAGATTGGTCAATTATGTATAGTTTGTTTTTTCGTACAGGAAGTTGCAGCTGCGTTTGTATTTTTCAAGACTCGCTACGCTGCTCTCGTTGCCTCTCAGGTCCTTCAATCATTAAATCCCATGTTATGGGTGACTGACTTGGCTCCAGAACCACATGATGTCTATTGGTCCAACCTCTGCATACCATTTAGACAACTTTGGATCCGCAAGATAGCTACACTTCTAGCTGCTATTGTCTTCATGTTCTTGTTTCTTATACCCGTGACTTTTGTTCAAGGTCTTACTCAACTAGACCAGTTACATCACTCATTTCCATTTCTCAGAGGATTACTGAAGAAGTAAGCATCTTACTTTTGAAAGATCTTACAAGTCGCTGTCATTTTTTAGTAGCATATTATCACGTTTTTTTATCACTATTTTGTACTAGGATGTCTGAGTGTCGAAAGATAAGACTGTTCTCCAGGTCAGGTGTAAAGATAACACATCAGTCATAGTTGAATTTCTAGAGTGTCCATACATATCTTAATATCATTACCTGATAACTAGATTGTTTTTCTGAGAGAACATTTTTCAAGGCAGGAAAAATGTAAAGAAAGATGGGGAAAGCTATGTTATCTGAAAGGAGATGGTTGTCACATATCCTTCCTTTTTGCGTTGCAGGAAATTCATGAATCAGCTGGTCACAGGTTATCTGCCAAGTGTTGTTCTGATGTTATTTTTGTACATTGTTCCTCCCACAATGATGCTATTTTCAGCAGTGGAGGGATCTTTCTCTCGTAGCGGAAGGAAAAAGAGTGCATGTCGCAAAGTACTTTATTTCATGATCTGGAACGTCTTCTTTGTTAACGTTCTCTCGGGGTCTGTCATCAGCCAACTAAATGTTATTTCTAGCCCAAAGGGCATACCTGCTCAACTGGCGCGAGCTGTGCCAACACAGGTGATTTCCCAACATATTCACTTACCAGATTTTCGCGGCACACTATTGCATTTGTTGGATCATGTGCTTCTGTGTTTCTGCATTGAATCTTCAGCACCTTATGCCTTGTGGATCTGACAAAGAGTGTTGTTTTGGCTATTGGATATTTGTAATTGCGTGTCTCTTCAGATAGCAGGGATATTTGTTTGGTGATGGATGTAGTGCGGCCACGTGATGTATCAGTATATAGTTTCAATTTCTATCTCTTGCTCTGATAACCATTGTTATATGATTGCAGGCTAGCTTTTTCATGACTTATATCTTAACATCGGGTTGGGCAAGTTTGGCGTCAGAAGTAATGCAACCTTTTGCTCTTCTATGGAACCTAATTAGGCGATTTATCCTCAGAAAGAAAGATGATTTGTCTGACAAGCCTTTATCTTTCCCATACCACATTGAAGTTCCAAGAGTGCTACTGTTTGGACTCCTCGGCTTCACTTTTTCCATCCTGGCACCTTTGATGCTGCCTTTCTTGCTGGCTTACTTCTTACTTGCTTTCCTTGTGTACCGAAACCAGGTTAGAGGAATTGAATGTCATTTGTTTATGGTATGTTGTTTTGCTAGAATTGTCTATACGTTATTTACTTCTGGAACCTGTTGAACTCTGATGTTTTTACGTCTGGGATTGTCCCATCAGTCATCAGTACCTAAGCAGAAAGAAGGATATCAAATGATAATATGTGATCCGTTTTTTTTTAACCATATGAGATTTACCTGTCGCCAGTAGCCTGGGATATCATCCTTAGAAAGGTTTCTTTTAGCCAGTCTTTTTTTATTTTATTTGGAGTTCTTTTTGGTCGATTGTTGTACCAATTTAGCCTTTTCCATTGTCATGATGTCTTCTCCATTTTCACTTTGCCGTAACATGTTTCTGACTGTGTTTACTTGTTTTCAGATTCTTAATGTATACACATGGAAGTATGAAACTGGAGGGCAGCTGTGGCCTACTATTCACAACACGACCATCTTCTCTTTAGTTTTGATGCAAATAATAGCCCTGGGGGTTTTCGGACTAAAACGATCTCCTGTCGCCTCCGGTTTTACTATACCACTTATAATCTGCACTCTGTTATTTAATGAGTATTGCAGGCAGAGATTTCACCCGATATTTAAGAACAATGCTGCCCAGGTAATGTTTTGATGTTGAGATCTCTCTCTCTCTCTCTCTCTCTCTCTCTCTCTCTCAATCAATTGGCGGATTGTTTGTAGATGCTCATTGACATGGATCGGCAAGATGAACAGAGTGGGAGGATGGAAGATATTCATAGACAGTTGCCTTCAGCGTACTGCCAGTTTAGCTCGAGTTTTCACGACTTGTATAAATCTGGGCACCATGATCAATCTGATAATGGGGAAAATATTCGAGATTCTGAAGACGAGAAGCCAGGTTTGATTCACCCAACGCTCGGAAGACTTCCGCTTCCTGGAATTAATGATTTGATGGCTTGGCTCTCTGTGCTTTTCAGGAGAGGACTCCAAGAAAGTGAATGAACCATTGGCTCTTCATCGCCATATGGAAAGCAAAGAGCCCAATGGAAAGTGAACTTCTAGATTACGATCTTGTTCGCTGTACATGGGCTGTACATGGGCTGATGAGCAGATTCGGTCTCATCAACTGTTATATAATCCTCTGTTCTGCCTCCTGAAATGGAGTTGCTCGGAGGAACAGTTTTGTCGATACATGTTGAAATTATTAGTTTCCTAAGAAAGAAAAGGTATGCAAATATACCGTGTCACCAGTGTCGAAACTGGAAAGAAGAGGGGGGCTGCAGGGGGGTGCGTGGGGGTCTGATTCTTTCATTGTCTACTCTGTTTTCTCCCAAATATATACGGGAAAGACTTTAGGTACTTCTCAATGTATGATAGATGGAAAATCTCTTTCTGGCATACTTTCGTTTCATTTGACATTTGAGATTCTGAGTTGGTCTTCAATGTAAATAAGTTGGAATAGTGCATCACGCTCCATTTTATTTGCAAACTGGTGAAGCAGACAGACGATTCTGCAAAGTGTCTTTGGTTAATGAGGCAAGCGTGATACCAAGGTTTTAGAGACGAGGCAGAATGCAGAAGGATTGCCATTTTAATGTGTTCTGCAGACAAAAGCGCAGCCTGCCTACTTCGAAGCATCCGGGCTTGTGCGGCTAAAGGATGTGCCACATGAAAATGCTTTTTCGAAATAGAACTTACAGGCGGCTCAGCAACTTCTTTAAGAGGACCAAACCATGCACACAGCCTTGTTTTCTAACAAGGAGCCATTCCTACTGAGCAATACCTGGAATTGCGGTGTCTCCAACTTCAAATGTTCCGACAAAATAATGTACAACAACAAAACTTAGCATATAACATTCTACACTATGAATATGACAATAATAGTCAAGAACGCGTTTGTGCTCCATCCATGTGCATTGGTCATACTTTACAACTCTCTCTCTCTCTCTCTCTCTCTCTCTCGTACAATGGGTCCAAAAAACACTTTCTATATAATGATTAAATGACGGTCGGCATTAATCTACCTGATGGATTCTGCAAGTGCATAAAGCTTCAAGAACTTAAACGGCTCATGGAATGGCCCCCTCTTGGAGTTGTCTCTCTTCGTTACTTGATCCGTGCGACGGATTTCTCCATAGCCATAAAGCTTGCATCAGGCCACCATTTGCAACATGCAGGAGAAAGACTCTCACTCCGAGCCCACAAAATGCAGAAGTGAACTTGAGAACAACGAAGAAGCAGCTTATTGCCGTCAGGTGCTGGATGAATCCTTGATCCGGCTAAAGTATTCACATATGAACAAAGGTTCAAATACAAAATAGGAATTCCCTGAAGAAAATGACAAATGTGCAGTTAAATATGGATGAAAGCTGAACATACCTGAGAGTCACCATAGAATTCCGTCGTCACCTCCTTTAGAAAGCCAGTCAGCAAACAACCGACGGAAAGGCCAATCGGAATTATCAATTCTCTATTTCTCGAAATTGCAAATAAAACATCTGATAAGGAGCTAGCCACAAATAGAGTAATCAGTGACCACTTCAATGCCTTCTGTCCCAAAGAGACCACTCGATCGAGAAGCACAGTCTCTGCTTTCTTCCAGGGAAAATGTTTCACCGAGTCCGGAATCGCCTCCTGTAACCTTTCTGTCACAGTATCAAGTTGCACATTCAGCCTCTCAGATTCACCAAACTGTGCCATCGTCACTTGCATAGAGTGCTTTGGAAAGGTCCGTCGACATGAATGAAGAGTTATGCCATTGCTCGGCTGACACATCCTATTTTTCAACAGCTTGATCTAGAATCAGAAAAGGGAACACTATGTTAGGTTGTAGAAAGCATAAACCAACTCATTCATCTAACCTGCAAAAATATTCGCAAAAGATTTTCAACAAAACCGCTTCGACTATTCTCATAGCCGTACCACCTAGTGCATCTGAACACAAATTTTGCGAGACACTTCAGAAAACCATCTCCTATTCAAGAGACTAACAAAGTAAACACCGACCGTCCTTATATCGTCAGCCAGAACTTCATTACTTCAAGCTTTATTCCCTTCAGGGTTTACCAACCTTGCATTTTTACTTCACTGAAATTCCATAAACTTTAAACCCTCGAAGTCAGAAAGGTGTCTGCAAAAATTAGCTTGGACAAGAACAGCTGAATCAAACCGAAAAATAACTACGATCCCTCGGAACTCAACAGCACGGTTCAAAGTTCAATCTGCCTGTTGCCAGTACTTCAGTCGAAGACATCACGACCGAATCGCTCGAGCATAACACGAATTCCCCGGAATCTCATCACCCCCGACCGTCCCGCCGACAAAATCCGATCCAATCATTAATTCTCCCATTACACCTCAAGGAGATACAATTCTTGCATTGCCATTTCCAAGAGCGAAAACCCAAATTACCAATACATAAAAAAAACAAGAAAGACATCAAGAAAAGCTCGACCCTTGAAGTGTGAACCGTTGTTCAACAAGAAATCACTCAGCAACGCAAGTCAGCCGGCGGTCGACATTTCCTCACATCTTCCGTCTTCGCCACTCTAAAATCCCACAAACCCACGAGCTACACATCCACGAAAGGAAAGAAAAAACTGCAAATTTCACAGCCAACGCGATCGCTCACCCGAAATGGCGAAACCGAAGGCAACGCAACGAACCCCTGCGACGCCATTAGATAAGGGTAAAAGAAACGAGCTCCTCCCAAAGAACCCTTTTACCGCTTTCGCCTCCGCTTCATCGGTCTCCGCTCCATGAGCTCAGCTGAACATGGTGTGTAGCGTTGGGGGTTTCGCTTCTCGCCTTCTTCGCCGTCTCTCTAGTCTAGTCCAGGGTTTTAGCAGATGGATAACGAAGGGTGCAATGGTAAATTAGAAGGCCGAGGAGTCCCGTATTTACGATTTTGCCCTCGCCCGATTGGGCTTGGGCTTGGGCTTGGGCTTCTTGAAGTTTTTTTCTCGGTAACGGTCGCAGTGGGCCTTGAGTTGGGCTTGCTGGCTTTTTGTTTTCAATTTTTGTCCTAAACATTCAAATTTCCCACATTGCCCTTTGATGGATGCATTAATAGTTTTGGTAGAATATTTTATGGGAAAAAACACGAGTAATGAAAAGATATAAGGTCGCAATGACAAAAATGTCAAATGACAAAAATTGGATTCTTATTATCTATTTTAAAATAGTTAATCAATGCAAAAAAAATCTATTGATCAAATGATAGTATTTTAAAAAAATTTCTTAGTTATTAGTTAATCGTTTCCTTTTACACTTTGAGAGCATCAATCTCTTTCATTATTTTGTTTAAAATTTTTGGTTAAGGAAATATTTTTTTACATCAAGCAACCCTTTAAATATACGTAATGAGTTATTTGACCTTTTTCGTTTATTCTTTTTCGTAATTGTATTATAGTGTTTATATTTATTCAAATTTTTAGAAATTTTTATTTTTTGGTATCATTATTGATATTTATTTTTTTCCATTATTTGTATATTAGTTGATTTAATTTTCCCTCATTTTCTATAATTTTCTCATTTCTTTTAGTGGCAATTACGGGTAAGATAGAGATTTTCTTCAAAAGTAACATAAATATATGCTTTTACCCCTTAAAAAGAATGTATATTGTACATACTATACCAAAATGAAAGTTTAGGGGTATTGTACAACAGCTGAAAGTTCGGGGGCAAGCATGTACTATGACCAAAGTTCAGAGGGGTTTTGTACAATTCTTCCTTTTTTACCACTCTATTCATTCAAGGATTGATCTATGTGATATGTGGCTCTAGGGCATAAAGCTGTGTCTTGTTGTCCTCTTGTTAATGTCAACGTGACAATAACTTTACTCAAAGTAGAATTGGGTTAACGTGTGTCAAGTTGTGTCGGTTTTGTGTTGTTCGTACTTCTCTGGTATCAAACTAGAATTTTGGTATTCAAATTTCACATTAGGTCCAAAACATTTTCTCGTCTTATCTTGCAAAAAGAAAATGCCAGAATTCTCATCGTGAGAATTTCCTTCTTTTTTCATTTAATTTTCCTACAATTGACAATCATAGAATTTCTCCAGAACAAAGTACTAATTGCCAAATAATAGAGAAGAAAGAAAAGGACCTCAGGCATGTTCGACATTTGGTACAGATATGCTTAGCTTCTTTTGTGTCATTAATACTTAGCAAAAATTGCACATGTTTAGCTTGTGTGCAAAGATTAACATTTAAATTTTTTTACAAAATCGCCTTATTACGAAATATTTCAATTATTTTATAAAGGAAAGAATTATTGACACAATATGAAGAAATTGTATACATAAATGTGGAAAGGGAAAAATATTTTAAGATAGAAAATATTTGAATTTCAATAGTGCAATACGTGAGAGATTATAGATTTGTTGATTTACGCGTTCACCCATTGACGGAATATTCATACAATAACTAATTGAGCTACTTTGAGGAAGAGAAATGGATTGTGATCGAATAAATGTAAGTCAATTTTGCTATATATATAATATCATATAAAACAAGCCAGTTCGCTCATTCAAAAGTAGGTGCTATGATAGGAGCTAGTAATCGCCGATATGCTCATATAGAAAATGATGCGAATAATCATCAATGAATGACTTCGAATTTCGGACCTCAACACCGTAGTTTAAAACAAAGACAATAATAAATATGTCTTGGAAATTCATTATGACAAGTAGAGGTAACAATTGGGCCGGTTCAAGCTGGTGCGGTGCTGAAAGGTTGCACTTAATGTGTTGCCCGAGACCGCCCATATCATAAAAGTTTATGAGGAATTTTGGAGCCGGGCCAAAGATGGGTGGGTCAGGCTTTTTTATGTTAATCACCCGCCAAAACTTGCCTATCTGCCTCTCAGGCTCGGCTTGGCCGGCTCGCCCGTTGATCACAATTTTTTTTTGTTAGAAATTTCCATTCATTACGAAAATGATATAGTAAAGGATTATACCTATTTGTACAAATACCTCGGTGATTCCCACTCGTTAATACATATAGACCAATAAGCATATCTTGGGTTGGTACGGAAATGGGATCCCCAATAGCTGGAGACAAGAGATTCATATGAGAAAACATAAGTAAACGAGCCTTCGCTTGAGCCTCCAAAGATAAAGGTACATGAACAGCCATTTGATCCCCATCAAAGTCTGCATTGAATCCCTTACGAACTAATGGATGTAAACAAATAGCACGTCCTTCCACTAAAATGGGTTGAAATGCCTGTATGCCTAATCTATGCAGAGTAGGCGCTCTATTCAGCAATACGGGATGCCCCCGCATAATTTCTTGCAGTATTTCCCATACAATGGGCTTCTTTTCCCGAATTTTACTCTTAGCAACTCCTATGTTCGAAGCAAGATGTTGTCTAATTAGCCCACGAATTACAAATGTCTGAAAAAGCTGTATTGCTATTTCCCGAGGCAATCCACATCGATGTAATGGAAGTGAGGGTCCTACAACAATGACAGAACGACCCGAATAATCGACCCGTTTGCCAAGCAGAGTCTCGCGAAATCTTCCCTCTTTGCCTTCAATTACATCCGAAAACGACTTGTAAACCTTATTATGACCATCCCTCATTGGTTGTCCGCGAATTCCAAAACAAGCCCATAGAGCTCCAAAACAAATCAAAAACCAGAAATCAAGGCATATTCTCAGAGCATGGTTGGCAGAGATAATCACACGCTCGTCCTTCAACAAATATCATATTTAAGTGGGCCGGACTAAAACTACAGCTGCATAGGGCTTTAGAGAAATTGAAAGGGAAATAACTTCGGCTTGGATGTTTCAAAAGTTAGGAAGTTCGTGTGGAACAATTGAACGATAGTTACGTGGATCAAATTATGAGATCTGTCTTGTTTGCAAAAACTGCAAAATGTACCAAAACTTGTGAACCTCAATATATATAATGGAAATTAAAATTAATTTTTTCTAATGAACAGGGAATTGTGAACAATATTGGTAGGTTTTAAAGATGTAGTTGGTAGTTGGTACAACCTCAATTTCTATTACATGTTTGTTTTATTCATTAGATGAAGTGATTATTTCCTTACTTGACAACTTTTTACTTAAACAAATTATTTAAGTTGTGTACAGTTAAAAGCTGTCGAACGCAATTAATAATAACTTTAAGTCGTGAAAACTTAATGCGTTTATCAAACACACCGAAAGCCCTGATTTTTTAAAAATATTTTTGGTTGCTGAGCAGCAAAAGGAGATCTTTACAAAAATTGGGGAGTCATATTCTCTCAATTAAATTGTGACAATCTTGTGGAAATAATGCATACCACATTTATGTGTTAAAACCGATGACGAGAGAAATTTTTTTTTATTACTTGGCTCTATAATGTGTTACATAAATCGATGGGTAATTATGCCCGCACGCTATGTATAGCAAAAGGAAGTAACTAAAATTGCAGGATCGATAACAATCTCATATGAAATCTCGGAATATTATGACAATATTCTAACAATGTGGACGTATTGCCATGCGTTTGATTTTTCCATGGATTATTGGTTATCAAATTAAAAGAAGATGAAATTATTGAACTTGTAATCACCATTTCTCACGCTTGTTGGCTTGCATGCATTTTTTAGGTAGTTTGAGGGGAGACTAGTCTCTTTTCGAAGGGAGACTAATAGATTGCCAACTTTCCCATTGATGTCAATCTTTAGATTGAGATTTCGCTAAATACATTGAGATTTCTCATTGGTGAAATCTAGCACTTGTTCATCAAGAGACTACTTATGGTAAATCGCAATGAAAGCTAAACAAAGCATTACAAATTGGATGCAATACCTACATTAGAACGACAAATAAACGAAGACTCTACTAATATAATATTTTTAACTTTAGACGTGAGATTATGAACGAAAAGAACATGCGGTTCCTATTTGATTAAAAGCCCGATTTGCAAGCGCATGAGTAGATTGTTGGGTCTACGAATCTAGACCAAACTCCAACCTATATTGTTCTGAAGTAGGAAGCGAGAATTTGCGACAAAAGGCTGACTACCCCAACAACGATGACCCTTTTGTTGGATGTCATCAATTAAGACCTTGCAATCACTTTCAATTACTATGATCTAAGACGATATGTCAATGCTCAATGGCGTGTCGGAGTTCCTGAGGCAAATAGTTCGAAGATTAGAGTACGTAAGGGTCTCAAATCACTCAACTTTATAATCAATATAAAGCCTATATTAGCCAATCTCATAACCTTTTGGGTAGGGGTGTCAAATGGGTGCGTTGGGTTGGGTTTGGGTCGGGTCATAAATGGTCCGACCCAAACTGACCCGTTAACCCGTTTATGACCCATTTATACGCAATGCAATTTTCTTGACCCATACCCGACCCGATCCATACCCGACCCAACCCGTATTGCTAAAACACATCCATATTTAACTCAATATTGCTAATTTGTGGACAATTGTTATAATTTTAAAAATTAATTTTTTAACTTTTTCTTTTTCTTTCTTTCTTTTTTTTTTTCACAAATCCTGAAATGGATTTGATTTTTAGTTTTGAATTAAATATAAATGAGATCTTAAAAAATTAACACCTGTTATTTTTTTTTAGTCGGATAACAGCCGTTTAATAATACATTATTTGATACAATATTTTTTAATTTTAATTGCCCATAAAGAAGTGCACAAATATAAAATAATAAAGTCAATAATTATAATAATAAATTCATAAAATCAGGTTCTAGGTTCAAAAGCATATACATTATAGACCTATCAAATGGGTCCAAAATCCACTCATGTTTGCTTAAATGGGTCGATAATAGGTCATTCCTTTTTTTCAAAGCAGCCATAATGGGCTTTAAA